TCACCTATCACTCCTAAATAACATCATAAATATTCCAAAATCCAGTGTAGGTGTTGAGACAAAAAGGAGATAATGAAGAGGAGAAATTGCCAAAAAGAGCGAACTGATAATATTTCTATACAATCTAACAGCTTGCCAGAAGTAATAGTTTGGACTTCTGTTCTGTAGATTTTATGGAGATATACATAATCAACCATTTTATTCTAGATAAGTTCATTTCTTTGATTTAGAGCCCAGGAGGAAGAGGAATGCCATGATATCTCCCTCCTTCATCTTGTAGTCTGCTGAATAATTTGCGTTAATTCAGAAATAGCTCCAAGCCCTTACATAAGCCCTGTATACCTATTGCAGGGGCACAGTTGAAGTCTCAACCCTACTTGAAACATTTATAGGGAAATTATATTTATCAGCAAGAGCCTGAGGTTCCAACCAGCTGGCTGGAATGCACACTGACAACTGCAATGATAGAGCAGCTCTTCTGCGTGATGATTTGTCCTATACAGGGCAGAGGCTTGAAGGCATGAGCAACAGTTGCTGCAACACCTTTCTGGTCATTCTGCTCCTCTAAAACTGAAACCAGGCAGTGTTCTTCTGCCTCTTGTGGTTTTCTGGTAGATGTGGGTGTGTAAAACTGACAGCCAATGTGAGCATTAAAGTTTACAGTGCACTCAATGAAAGGCTTCTGATGACTGAGTGTGTGTGTGTGTAATGAGGTAATGTAGCCCATTTCTGTCTTCTCACTCTTTATTCACCATCTAGCATCTAGAATTTTCTATATTTTAAACTGCAGTGGATTAAAGAAAATAGATATGGAACCAGAATTCAGATCTACAATTAGTTTTAAGATCTTGTCTGACATTCTTTTCACTTCATATTTCCTGTCTGGGGAAATGCTATTACAGCATCTAGGTACATTTAAGTGCTGTTATGTTTAAGTGTTATACAAAACCAGTATAAAAAATATTCATACCAAGCCCAAAGAGCTGTATTTCAAACTTCACAAAAGCACTTTGATAACTAAGTTACAATTTTTTTCTTTTTAAAGGTTTGAGAAGAGGAGACTGATTAAACCCAGCATTATGTTGGCAGACAGGAGAGACAAAACAGGTTTCTTTTCATTTAAGTCATGAGGAATATCAAGTGGCAAATGCCCTTTTTGCCCACCCTAGCTATATGATAAAAATCAAAAGACAGTGTTCTGAATTTTTGAAGTTTTAAAACAGTTTCCAAACTTTGACTTTGGAATCAGATCAAAGTTCTGAACATGGCAAAGCAATCCTACCAAGAGTGCTCATTGGGTGTTATCTTCCAAAAGCAGTAAAATAGCTCATGTCTGTTTTCTGTTACAATGATTTCACTAAATATCTGACATTCACTGCTGACATTGAACTAGTGAGGGATTTTTTTTCTCTGTTTTCCCTCAAATTGAAGTTTCTTGTGAAATGATGAGGAACATTTCAGAGTTGTGACAGAAATATTAATAACTCTGCTTTGTCCAATTTTAAATATGTTTGAATATAGAGCACTTCAGCATATAAAGCAGGAACATAAGTGCTAGTGTCGGAGAACTCTTTAGCATGCACTGCTGAATATACAAATGCACACGTTTCAAAACCACACAGACATGAAAATTTGCAATTGAGAAGCTAAAGGAGTTCAATAAAAAGACAGAAAAAATTCTTTATGTCTAATGGCAAAGTACCCTGATGCTGCTATTTTGGGCAAGAAAATTAATGATCATTTTTTACAAAGGAAGCACTTCTTCTCTGTACTTTAGAACTGATTAGTAAATGGATATGCAGAAAGCTGTCTGTGGAATTAGAGAAATATGAATCTGTGCACTTCAATCTATTTTATACATGTTCTGCACGACCTCAACAGAACTAGATCTAATGCTCCCTCAGCTCCATTGAACTAATTAAGCTAGGTCATTATATTAATAATGGGTTGCCCTTCTGTCTGCATTTATGGCACTTAGCAAGTCAGTGTGAGTATGAACACTTATCTCACAAAGGAGGGAGCTCCTGACAATGAATTAGATTAATCCATCAAGAGAATTAATGTGACTTGATTACTGTTGATACCTGAAGAAGCTGGCATACACAAACAAGTATCTGCAGCTGTAGGAAGCAAGCAACAACACTGCACACAACTGGGCAAGGCCCCGAGCCTGTACTATTAAGCAAGGAGGTGGCTGACACCAAGACTGATGTGGCACATGCAAAGGGTGCCACAGGACATAAATGTTGCTATCAATGCTTTGGTTAACTCAGCTGGGTTGGTATTTTGCCACAAATCGTTCTAATGCTGTCTGTCATGTAAAAATACCTAATCTAACTAGTTTTCACTTCTCTTCCTTTCTTAAGGGGCATGAAAGAGTGAACATATTTGAAAATTAATTAGCAAAAACTCTGCAGTCACCACCTTAAAAGTATAAAATCAATGGCATTTTGGGCATGGCTTTGCCAGCTTTCTTGTTCTGTCAATTTTTTCACCTCCTTCAGTTCACTTGCTGATAGAGTGCCATAGACAAAGTGCCTAATGGCTTGGAACCTTAGCTCCTTAAGCTTATGATACTTGGCTGAGAACAGAATACAATGATTCTTCTCTGTCATAAATATTAAAATATAACAAAAAGTTGATTTCTGGGATAGAAGAAAAGGTTTCAAAATCGCTGAAGTGGAAATTTATAAAGAAAAAAGGTTCTCTTCTTGGCAGAGAGAAATACACATGTGAACTGCTTTATATTATGATTTAGTATGAAACAAGTTAAAAAAAATAAGTTTTTAAAGTGATCTTAATGCTGCCTCCTAGCAGTTGTTGGGCAGTTCCAGAACTTCCTTCATAAAGAATGCAGCTTTAGAGATCTATCAATAGCACCCAACATTTTTGATTCATTATTCATCGTTGTTCTGTGGCACAAGCGAAGAAATACTCGACTCATAGTCTCACACCTACAAACCCACTATATTCAATCTGTTTTTCTCATAAATAGGGGAAGGCATGAAGTGATTCAAGTCCCACAGAAGTGTTCTTCAGCCTGTCCATGTCCCCTCTGCCCTCCTAACCACAGGCTGAGGATCCAAAGATTAAGCTTGGTGAACTGCCAAGATCTTCTGTAGGCACTGGAGTAGGGAACAAATTGTTCATATGGTTTGTTAAACAAACAAAATGAAATGTCTGTACAATTAAGCTGTTTGTTTCAAACAGGATATATTGAAGTAATTCAAGACTTTATGGATACAAATTTGTTTAGGTATTTATCCACAGTGTAATGCTCATTTAGAGATTAAGTTACTGGAGTGCTCTTGAGCTTCAAAGGCATAATTCATGGCACTCTTCTATGTTTCCTAACAACACATGGCAGTATAGGCAGCCCTATAAAATAGCCATAAAATACCTACTTGGATGCATACTAGCAAATACATACTAAACCCAGTAAATCTTGAGTAAAATCTGACAACATAGGAATCACTGGATGCAGCTTGCAAAGTTGATATTTTATATATTATTCACATAAAACTATTACTTTGACTAATGAGGTCTATAAAACAAGGAGCTCTTTCCATGAAGAAGAGGAAGGAAAAAAAAAAAGGGGGAGTAAAATAAAATAAAATAAATAAAAATAAAATAAAATAAAATAATGTCCTGTGCAGGGTATCTTAAAACATTTTTGACTGTTATTTCAAAATCAAATTTCCACAAATAAAGAGAAAAATTTTATTCATTGCGGCACTCTCTGCAAAGTCGGAAGGTTAAAAGAAAGTCATTTTGTAACCAAGCATAAAATAGGCATTTGAAAAATTATTTAGCTGGGAAAAACACAATTTTTTCCACATTAAGATAACTTAAGAACACCCAAATTGATTTTTATTAGACTTCTCATATTCACTTCTGAGCTGACACATGCATGAGACATTCAGCCCCAAAGGTCACTTCTGAGAAGGCTATAAGTAACTGGAAACAGCACTGCAGGATGAAATGATGGCTCATTGCTGACTATTACTGCTGGAGAGTGATAGATATTTTACTCCTGAGGCTAAGAGACAGATTCTGTAAATAAATTTTTATTTCTTGGCAGTGCCGATAGCTGGAACATGATGTGATAGAGCTGGTTTTCCCAATGTTATTATTTGACTTAAAGAGACTGCAGGATGGATGCTGGCAAGGCCCCTGGGCCTATGTTGGAGGGAGCCCACCACAAGCTTGTCTCCAGGGCCATCAGAGAGGGGCACAGGGTGAGCCCTGGCTCCAGGCACCACATGGTGAGGGGCAAAGCCCAGTGTGGTGCTCTCCTCCTCCTCCTCGCTGCCCTGCCCCAGCTGCTCAGTGCCCTGCTAAAACCTCTGCTCAAAAACCCAACGCAAACGACACTGGTCAGCTGTGAGCACTTCGTTCCTCCTTCCCAGGCTTTGGTCACTCCATGCTTTATTCTCTCCATCCCCTCTTCTTTTTGGTGCCAACATTAGTCACTAAGGTTGTTCAACCCAGAGAAGAGCTGGCTTGCGGGAGGCTGTAGCCAGGTAAGCATCAGCTTCTTCTCCCAGGCAAGCAGCGACAGGGCAGGTCACAGCCTCAGGCTGCGCCAGAGGAGGTTTAGGTTGGGTGGGAGGAGGAATTTCTTCACAAAGGGTCTGATTAGACGCTGGAATGGCTTGCCCAGGGAGGTGGTGAAGTCACCATCTCTAGAGGTGTTCAAGAAATGGCTGGACGTGGCATTTAATGCCATCATCTATTTGATTTGGTGTTCGGTCAAGGGTGGACTCTAATTCAGACGCTTCTTCCAAAATAATAATTGTGTGAAAACAAAACACGAGGGGTCTCTGGTGAATTACAGCTTTTCTCCAGAGAGACCCGCCGGCTCTGCTGCCCATCCCGGACGGCGAGGAGGGGCTGACCGGCTGCCTGCGGCTCCCCACGGCGGCACCGACCCCAGCCCCTTCCGCAGCGCCCCGTTCCGCGGCCCCGCCTCTCCCGGGCCGTCACGGGCCTGGCGCAGGCGCGGCTCGGCCATGGCGGCCACCGTGGAGCGGCGCCTCGCCGAGTTCCGTGCCGCCCGCCGCAGCGCCGTCGCCGCTCCGCGTCCAGTCGAGCCGCCGGGAAAGGAGGCGGCTCCGGAGGCCGCCGAGGGACCACGGGCAGCCGCGGAGGGCCCGAGCGGCGGCGCTCAGGTGAGCGCCGAGGAGGGCGGGGCGGGGGGTGCGGCGGCCGGCCGGTGCCTGACGCCGCTCTCCCCGCCGCCTCCGCAGGTCCGGCCCGGCGCGGCGGCCGCTCCGCTGTGGGCGCGCCCGCTGCTGCTGAAGGTGCTGCTGTGGGCCGTGCTGCTGGCACTGTTCGCCGAGCTGGAGCTCGGGCTGCCCTATTTCGTCCTCTCCCTGCTCTACTGGATGTACGCCGGCACCCGCGGCCCCGCCGAGCGGCGGCCCGGCGAGCTCAGCGCCTACTCCGTCTTCAACCCCGGCTGCGCCGCCATCGCCGGGACGCTGACGGCCGAGCAGCTGGAGCGGGAGCTGCACTACCGGCCCGCCGCCGGCAGCTAGCGCCGGGCCCGGCGGGGACTGCGCTGGGCTGGGCCGGGATTGCCGCCGCGCCGGGCCGGCCCCGCCGCCGCCGCCGCCGCGCCGAGGAAGGGCCGGGGCTCGGGGGAATGAAACGGGGTTTGTTCCTATGCAGAAAAGCACCTGAGCCTTACTGCTGGCCCCGTGTCCCGCGGCGCCGGCCGGTCCCGAATAAAGCCGTAGCAAAGCCTGCGCTCTGGTCTCGTTTCCTGGGGCCGGGCAGCTGTTTCGGGGCCCCGAGAGGCACGGCCTTGTCACAGCTGCGGCTGCCAGCGTGTCACCTGCAGGGCTTCAGCTCCCGAGAGCTTTGCCACAGGTGACAGACACGAAGGCTGGCGTTTGACGACACCTGCCTAGAAGGGCTTGCTGCTGCTCTCCCCTGCACCGGCTGGAAACCTCACGGTGAAGAAACGACGAGCAGCAATAGCCATATACCTAAAATAGGCTGCTGCTTTGGTTTGCAGTGGTGTCTTTCATCTAACACAAACATCAGATTATAATTCCCTTTTTGCTTCATATTACAGTTTTCATAACTGTAAACTGAAAAATACTTATTCTTGGCAGGTGTATTTGTATGATCCACTTCTGTTTTTAATATGTAGGTCATTGCATTGAGCCAGACCTGCTCAGCAAAGTGGTAGTCACCTCTGCTTAAAGCATGGGAAAAAAACATGGGTGTGGCATTTGAGAACATATTTTAGTGTTCTAAAACATGTTCTATGGTGGTGCACCTACACAGACAGTTGGACTTGATCTTTAAGGTCTTTACCAACCATAACAATTTTATGATTCATTAAGTCATCATTTTGAAGAGCAGCTGCTAGAACTTGTATCTCTGAGGACAGAGTTAAGAAGAAAAGTCACCAATTGGTCTTTCACGTCCTGGTCCACTATGTCTTTTCTAATTTAACAGTTAAACACATTGTTAAGTGTTTTCAACACAAGTTTCATCACTGGTTGTAGAAACAAAACAAAGTGGTGCTTTGAATTTAGCTGGACTAGTAAGAGAGTAATAAAGCACATGTAATATGTTAACACTGATAAGCATCTCTCAGTAGCTCTCCAGAGCACTCTCACAGTTTTTATCTTGGGCTGTTGTATAAATTCCAAGTCCTGCTATTTGAAGGCAAAAAAATTTGTCATTTGCACATATTCTGTCATCCTCCAGTAACGCCCCCCCGAGAGTTTTCATTATTCTTACTGATTCCTTTTGACTCTATAACATGCAGCATTTTCTATTTGATTAACATATGCTCAGCAGGGTCAAACACCTCTAGGTAGTGGACACACAGTTGCACATATAAAGCACTGTTTCCCTGAAAGAACCACAGAATCTTTCCATTCTTAAAAAGTATTCTAGTAACAGGGTAAAAAGTAGTTAGATGATACTCAAAACAACTGTAGGCAATGGAATTTTGTGAGTTGAAACTTTATTCACAACAATAAAAATGAACATCAGCATAGTGTTTATGGGGAGTTGATAATCTGACATCTTGTACAGTTCAGTTCTGTGGGTATTTTTTAAAACAAGGAAATACATGCAAATAAATATTAAATATAAGGTAAGATCAATGAAATTATAAAAATTCATAGCAGCAATGCTGGAAATAAAGTTTTCACTTGCTATACACTCTAGCTGCATTATGTCCAGGTGGATTTATAGACTCTTGTATTTAATGCTTCATGAAACAAGTTACCACAATAAGTGAGCATGAAGCCAAAAGGCACAAGAAATAAAAACTGACACAGTTCATCTCTTCCAGTGCTTCATGTTGGTTTGCTTATTTCATGCTACTCAAATAAATGTACATTACACATTGTGAAATGGAGATGGCATGAATAACAAAGGCTTGTGAAAGGTCTTACTGAAGTAGATAAAATATGATGGAGAAATTGGCACTGAGGCCTTGCTCAGTCTTTAAATACACAAATATACTGTAAATACTGTAATTCTGCTTGGTGTTAATTACTTCCACTGAGTTGTTTTGAGAGGGGATTTAAAAAGGTTTGAACTAATGACAGCTTAATTAGAGGGGAGGGGGAAATTTCCTCTGCAGCCTTCTGCTTGGCTAAGACCTCACTTTGTTACCTTACTTTTCTCTTGTATTCTAACAAAGCAGAAGTCACCAAGTTAACTGGAGTTATTCCTGTGGGCCCAAAGCCCTCAGTTCACAAATGAGTAGGAGGGACAAGAACAGCTTACTAACTCAAAAGCACATCAAGCTGTTGAATCTTGCTTGTGACAGCAGCTTTGTGTAACAGGTTTGTTACCACACATGGAAATGCTCTCTATTCCTATGTCTGTCCTCTTTCATTTGTTACACACCCTTGTTTGTCCAGCACTTCAGTGGGTTAGAACACTTCTGTAACTTCCTGTTGTCACAGCAAAACTATCATCTTGCCAACAGCTGTGCAAGCAGCAGAAACTTTTTTTCCCAGGTTTGCACGCAACTAAGTAGGACCGGCATCCACTCTTGAATATTGAGTGAAATTATTCCCACCAGTGTGCATTAAGCCACAGCTGTAAAGTGCATCTGTCACCATACTGCCCTTCCACCTACCAGTGACAATCTTTAGTACTTTTTTCCTATTCTTAGCACTTCAGGATAGACATTAGATAGAAACATCAAGCATACTCTGTACCTACAGGAAGCTAATTCATTAACTTGCAGGACAGCAGTTAACACCTGCATGTAGTAGACAAGTATTGTACTGATGGTCACACAGCACAGAAGCAAGTGATTAAATATACAGAAGAACCCGAAGTGCTTCATTCCAAAGTCAGCTTTGCAACCGACGTTAAGAGAGGGAAGGCCTGGAAGCAGCCTGCAGAGAAGCCAGCATGCTGGAGACACATAAGCCAGCCTGAGAACTGTGGTGGATTTCTGCAAACATGTCTTTCTCCCTGGAGCTCAATTACTAGCATTAGAGCAGAAGGTGGTAACACATCCTCTTTAATTCAATTCTAACCTTATGATTGCAGAACTAATCCATGCTGTTGGCAATTAGGATTCTAATACAATGATTAAATAATCCCATGCAAAGCAATCTAGCTTCAGGCAGGAAAGATGCTGAGTTACATCCCAGAATATCCAGTCCATTTTCTTGGCACTAGGGACTGTGAATGCAAGTGCAAAGAGACTTGAGAATAGGGAGGGTTATTTCTGCTGAGTCGTTGTAACTGCTTTGCCATGGAAGTTACTTATTTATTACAAAAAAATCTGTGAGCAGGGAGATTCTCAGAGCTTGTCTTTGGCACTTCGCCTCTTTGTTGTAAAGGGAGCCCAAGTAAGAGTAAAGATGTGCAAAGCTTTTTATTAAGTGATGCAACCTATCACATCGGGCGTGTAGAGGTACTTCTGCTTGTCCCCAGCAACTCTTGTCAAGGTCAGGGAGCAAACGCACTACACAGTGCAGATGCAGTCACTGCATGAGCCCTTGTTGTTTTAAACAGACAGAAAAAAAGCTCACGGAGTTCAGGATTTTTTGTTTGGAGCTGTTGGTTTTGTTTGGTTTTTTGGCTTTTTTTTTTTTTTGGAATGCCGCTGATGGGAAGCTGGCAGGCGCTGGAGGATGGCAGCCCACCCCGGGAAGGGGGCGGGAGCTGTCCTTGGTTCTGAACCCGCGCCCTGCGCCAGGGCCGCCTCCCCCTCCGCGCGACGGTGCCTTGTGTCACAGGAGAGAAGGACCAAGGCCGGAGGGGAAACAAAAGTGAGCACACACTGCCAACTACCGAATCTTTGCAATGAGGAGAGGTCTGCTGAGACCAGCAGTGGCCACAAGCTGACTTCCTTCTGTGTGCTTGCACCCACAGGGAGCGGCGCAAAGCTCAGACAAGGAAAGGTTCTCTTGAAACACAATCCACCACCCCATCCCCATGAACACCTGTGTGCCCACCAGGTGGGCAGCCTAGCACTGGCAATGGAAGGGCTGTGCACGCAGGGCACATTTCCATCCGTGTCAACAGAAATAATGTGCACCTATTCCAAGCAGAGGAGGTACCTCACAGATACTGCATTTTTGTTTTGTTTGGGCTTTTATACTTTTTGAAGCAAAGCTTGAAGATAGCATTCAGAAGTGTTCACTACATTACCTGCTGTATATTGACAGACCTTCAGGACGCTGTTCTTCACCTACCCAGAAAACAGATTAGCATATTTTCAACTTTAACTTTGGGAAACCCCTGCTACAAAACTGATTCTTCCCTGAAACACAAGTTGTGTCCCACTAAATTTTTTTCTAAAAATGGTGATGGCACCTTACCCTATCCCCAGAAAAGTCTAAATGTATTTTCTGGCAATAATCATATTCTATATCCTTGTAATTTAATCAGTCGATCACTCAGTTCACCCACTCAACAGTAATAAGCCATTGACCCTGTGGTTTCAGACTGGATCAATGCAACGCTTAAGTTTTGGAACCCCGGAGGCCTTGTGTGCAAATAGAAAAAAACTCTTTTAACTTACTTTAGACATGACCAATTTTTCCTCTGATGTGTTCATTACATTAGCAGATTGCTTTCCCTAGAAATCTTTGTCCAACAGCCTGAAGGCGATGAGCAGCACATGCTTAAGTTTCTTGCTGGAGATGGCAAACTTAAGCCACTTGCTTGGGTATTTAGCGGTTTTCAGGTAGATTGTACAGTTCATTGTTCTCCATCTGATTCACCTGCAGAAATCTCAGCTGAATGTGGCCTGACAAGTGGCAGCATAGACACTGCTGCCTACTGTGCCCCCACTGCTGATGCTGTTGGCTGGACACTTCAGAGGTTTCATACTGCTGTCTCTCTGGACATACAAGTGTTCCAACCTCCAGCGCTCCCAGCTTTTCCGAAACTCCATCTGAACCTAACAGAAACAAAGAAGGAAACAAAAGGAATGAATGTAGAACTAATCAGCTCTTTAAATGACTCCATCAGAAAACAGCAAGGATACCACACTACTGAGAAAAACTGGAAGTGCTTTAAACCTGCAATATTATTG